CGCAATCAAAGGGCCGCCACGGTGGTTGATCTTCACAAGGCTGGCTCCGTGCTTGGGCCAGCACTTGCCGCACGCCAGCGCGCACTGCATGAGTATAAGAGAAGGGGGGGGGTCATTCCACACACGTCACACCAAAATAGGGCTCGGCCACGCGCCGACGTACCCCGTTGGAGCCCAACAGCTCCAATTGGGCGCCCAGCCTGTAGGTGGGCGCTGGGCCGTCTGAGTGGTAGTCAAGATGTTGAAGGAGTTCCTCCTTCTTCTCCTTGTTGTTGCCCTTTAGGTAGTGGAGCTCGTGCACCGCGAGGGTGGCGCCCTGCCGGTACTCCTCTTGGAGCAGGTGGGCCGAAGTGACGCTCAAGGCCAGGTACTTGTTGCTGGCCAGACAATGGGCCCGAGGTTCTGGTTGGTCGTGCCTGGTGCGCCTTCTTTTCCTTGCCCTCTTCTCCCCAGCCAGGTGGGCGCCACCAGCGGGAGGGCTCCTATGCGAGTCCCTCTCCTTGCGCTTGCTGCAGGTGGCCGCTGCGTTCATGTTGGTGCGTTCGCCTAAAGACCCAGCCCTGTACCCGACCTTTCCTCCTTTGTTTCTGGACCGGCACAAAGTTCTCAACCAATCACGTTCATGTGGGCCGAGAAATCGACAGATAAAAGTCGGAATTCAAAGCATGGCAGGCATTCTGAAAATCTTCCGTGCTCCCTTTTCTGTGAATCCGCCCGATCGCTGGGCCACAAAACTCGAAATCGAGATCCCTCTGATTACTGCAACTCAAAAGCATTACCCCCCCCCCACAGAGACTAGTCTCCCAAACTACCCCTACCCCTACCAAGATGAGTACCGTCAATTTCGACATGGACAGCGTCGAGGCGTGGCGCCAGAAGAAGATCGTGGAGCAGCTGGAGAGCGCCAAGGGCAACGGCACCTCGTGCATCACCATCATCGTTCCCCCCAACTACCAGATGTCCAACATCAGCAAGCTTCTCACGAGGGAGCAGGGCGCGGCCTCCAGCATCAAGAGCCGCGTCATGCGCAACTCGGTCATCGAGGCCCTGAAATCGATCCAGCATCGCGTGAAGCTCATCTCGCGCCCCCCGCCCAACGGGCTGGCGATCTTCTGCGGCACGGTCATGCGTGATCGCAAGGAGAAGAAGGAGCTCACCGTGTGGGAGCCCATCCAGCCCCTCAAGCAGTTTTCCTACCTCTGCGATGGCGAGTTCCACGTGGAGCAGCTGAAGGCCCAGCTCAACGAGCACGACAAGTACGGCTTCATCGTCCTCGACGGCCATGGCACCCTCTTCGCCACGGTCCAGGGCAACCACGTCAACGTGCTCCAGCGCTACACGGTGGCCCTCCCCAAGAAGCACCGGCGAGGCGGTCAGTCCGCCGCACGTTTCTCCAGGTTGCGTTTTTAACGCGAGGCATACCTACCTGGTACATCCCCTCTCATCTTTGCTTCTTCCACTTCATCTTAATGTGTACTTACCTCTTGCTCCCTTCATCTTCTTCCCTACTTCTGATCTTTACCCAACGCAGACGAAGGTGGCCGAAATGGCGGTCCATTGCTTCGTCGGTAGGGACGACCAGCCCAACGTCAAGGGTCTGGTGGTGGCCGGCTCGGCCGATCTCAAGTGCGAGCTGGTCAGCCCCAAGATTCTGGACAGACGCCTCCTGGTGAAGATCCTCAAGACGGTCGATGTCTCCTACGGCATGGAGAAGGGCCTTCACCAGGCGATCGCGCTTGCCACCGACGTGCTCGGCGAGGTGCGCCTGCTCAAGGAGCAACGCCTGCTCGAGCGCTACTTCAACGAGCTCGTCGTGAGCGTCGACTCGGGCAAGGCCGCGTGCGGTCTGCGCGAGACGATGGCCGGCCTGCGCGAGGGCGTTGTAGACACGATCGTGTGCTGGGAGCAGCTGTCGGTCGTGCGCTACACCGCCCAGCACGCGCTCACCGGACAGACCGAAGTCATCCATTACAGCCCGAAGAAGGCTGGCCGATCGGCCGTCACCGAGCCCAGCGTGCGCGAAGTCATCGACAGCCACCGCGTGACCATGCAGGACCCGCAGCAGTGGTCCATCGTCGAGCAGGCCCCGCTGGTCGACTGGCTCGCCGAGCACTACCGCGAGTTTGGAGCGCAGCTGTCGTTCATCTCTGGCAACTCGGAGCTGGGCAATCAGTTCGTGCAGAGCTTCGGCGGACTCGGTGCCATCCTCCGGTACCAGGTCGACTTTGAGGCGCTCGACATGCCCGACGTAGAGTGCAATGACGCTGACGAGTTCGACGACTTCGACGACTTTGACGCCTGTGTCGAGCCCGAGCCTGCGCCCGACACCAAGCCCGCCGACCCCAAGGAAGAAGTGCTCGAGTTCGACGACGACGACTTCGAGGAAGACAGCGGCGAAGAGGAGGTGCCCACACGCGGCGCCAAGTCACCGCCTGCGGCCTCGGTCAACGACAGCCGCGACAAAAAGAACGACAAGGGCAAGGAGAAGCTCGACGTCGGCGATGGGCTCTCTCCCGCAGCCACCCCGCGAAGCTCCGCTTCTGCCACAAGTGGTCGCCGCGACTACCCGAAGACCGACACCGCGCCGCCGAAGAACCCCTCCGGCTCGCCGCCGCCGCTGAGCAAGGTCAAGTTCACGGAGAAGGTCTTCGTGCCTCGCTCTCTGCCTCCGGCGTCCGCACCGACCCGCGCCGGCCCCTGCATCAACTAAGCGCGCACCTCGCGGAGGCCACGCCGGCAGCCTTGGTTGCTGTTGGAACTTTCTGAAGAGTAGTGCGGACCTAAACGCACTTGCCTTGCTACAGCACATGATCCAGGCAATATAGTTTCTTTTCATTGATTGGTGCCTTTCCCTTCGACGTCGCCTGAGAGTTCTGCGGCCACATTTCCAGACGCAGTGATTGGTAGCGGTAGTACGATCGCCAATTAAACGAGGCGACGTAAGTGGCCGCAAGGCCTTAACGACGCACTAATGGAGTAGAAGGAAAGAAGAGCCAACTGAGAGCACAAGTGATGAGTAGCGCCAGAGGCGCGACTGCCGCAGTTGCAGTGATTCCTGCACTCCTCCTCCTACTCCTTTCCCTATCCGCCGTCTCTGCCAACCTAGTGGCCTACTACCCATTCGACTGTGCGTGCCGAATCCTACCCCTGCTGCTAACCCTCTCATTGATTTATGGCGTTATTCCGTCTCCTTCTTCAGCAAGCAATGTCGGCATTCCGGGCAGCTGCTTCACCAACGTGCCCAGTACGTTTCGACGTGGTGCCCTCTCTCGCGTGTGATCAACTTGCGTCGCCACCAACGACGCACTCCACGTCGCCCTCTTTCATTTCGAGCACTAACTCCTTTCGGCCCTGCCGCGGCGTGTACAGCGGCGAGCTTGGGCGGGCTGGCAAAGCGAACGTTGAGCACGGGCAAGTTTGAAGATGGGCTGACCCTGACCAACCACAACGACTACGCAGGTATACTACCCCCCCTCTTCTCTTGTTGCTCATCTTTTGACACCAAAAACCACAAATCAACTCTTAGTGTTGGACGGGCTCAACCTCTTCCCCTCGGCCAAGTCTTCGGCCTTCTCCTTTGCTGCCTGGATATGGCCCAATCGCACCACTTCGTCGTTTACCGCACGAACTATCGTCCTCAAGGAAGGCCTGATCAGCTTCCGTCTGTACGCCGGTACTACGGCGTCCACCAATTTCGCAGTACGTAGCGGTGGTCCTGCGTCGTGTCGTGTGCGTCGTGTGCGACGAATTTCGCGGTGGCTTACCTAGGGGCGCTTCACAGCTTCAGTGCAGGCTGCGGTTCGGCGCGTCGGTCGTGACCGAGGCACTTTCGCCCCCCAACATATTCACCAAAACCAAGACCGGGTGGACCCATGTTGCCTGCATCTACAACACCAGCCACGTGTGCGTCGCTTACAACGGCTCCCTCAGCGCTTGCAGCCCTGGTACTTTCCCTGAGGCCTCGTCTGGTAGGCTTCTGCAGCAATTGGGCTGACACCAACTACCACTTCTTGGTGACGCAGCGGACGGGCAGCAGGTCTCGCCGGTGGCAGGCAGGGTCTATCTCGGTTACACCGAAAGTTCTCTGCGAGGAGTGATGGACGAGGTCAAATTCTACGATCACGCACTTACGAGCGAGCAGCTCTCTCTGCTCTACAATGGCCAACGGGTCAACGATGTCCCCCTGTCCGTGGCCATTGGTATGCGCTTTTGTCTTTTCCTTGTCGTCTTCATTCTTCCTATCTATCTCAATTTAAAAATGATACTAACTCGAATTGGCACCTGCAGAGAGCGAGAGTATCGCCAACGAGACGCTGCAGGCGGACGCTCTGACCTCAGTGTCGTTCACCGGCTCCGCGACGGACACCCGGCTGGCCTATTCGGGCGCCTCAGGGTCCCGTCTGAACTACTCGTGGAGCATCCTGAGCAGTCAGTGCGGTATGGCCACCATCTCCAACAGCACGTCCGCCACACCCGTGCTCTCCCTACTCGACGTCGGCTCCTTTGTGGTGCGCTCTCATCGCCTTTCGTTCTTTCCTTCTCTTTCGCTTTTATTCTGCTCTCGTTTCATACTCACCACCACACACGCACTCACAGCTACAACTATGCGCGTCGGACGGCGAGCTGTCGAGCGGCGCTCAGCTCCAGGTGCTGGTGACGGCCAGCGAGCCCTACATCATCACCCAGCCGCAGGGCGGCACCCTCAAAGTGCCGCGTGGGTCGCTGGTCTCGCTGGACGTGGCGGGCAACGGCGTGCCGGCGCCCACCTACCAGTGGCACTACCTGACCTACGAGAACCGTACCATTGAGAACACCACCAACCCGGGCGAGAACACGACCGTGTTGGAGCGCAGCTACTACGATGACGACGGCGAGTTCCCGGGCGAAATCGAAGAAGGCTACGAGCCGCTGCAGCATTGGTTCAACAACCGTGCGACTTGGGAGATCGTTGAGGTTCGTGGTTGACCATCATTGACTCGATTGTTGATGCGACTGACTTTGACCGGTCAAATAGGCGTGGTACCCGATCGAAGGTGCCAATTCGTCGTCGTACCAGGTCAACGGGTCGCAGGCGGGCATCAACAACCAGACCATCAGCTGCCTGGTGAGCAGCACCGGCGGCGTGGCCTGGTCGGCCCGCTACACCGTCAACCTCGTGGCCGCGACTCCCTCGGCATCTCCCGTCGCAATCCCCACTTCCGGCGGAAGGTGCACGCAGTCCTGCCCCACTTGCCCTCCATATCTGGCAACTCAACGAGTGTCGTGTGCGTGTCGTGTCGTGTCGTGTCGTGTGCGTGTCGTGTCGTGTCGTGTCGTGCGATGCCATGCGAGCAGTTCGACCGACATTGCAGCGATTGTGGGAGGAGCTGTGGGAGGCGCGGCCGGGTTGTTCTGCCTGCTCCTCGTTGTGCTCGTGGTGCTGGCACTGGTGGTGGCCAAGCGCAAGGGCCACAGTCAACGGAAGCTGAGGCAGCCGGACTACATCGCACTGGCCTACGGCGACCTCGACGGCGTCTCCTTCCCCAAGAAGAAAGCCGAGGTGCGCTTCTTCGCCCCACGCTGACACCGATGCATTGCTCACATTCCTCCCAACAACACGCTTGCGCTGTGTGTTTCGGGCTTGGAATTTGAAGCATTTGACGAGGCTCGAACAGCTGCTGCTGGCGGAGAACGGCAGGCTGGCACACGCCATGCTGGCGGCCACGTCGGTCAACGACGCCGAGAAGCTGTGCAAGGCGTTGATGGTCGTGTTCGAGGCGCACCACCTGGGCTTCGAGCTGCTCGAGGTCCGCATCACGGAGGAGGTGGCGGCGGCGTCGGACGAGGGCACGCTCTTCCGGGCCAACAGCCTCGCGGCCAAGCTGTTCGCGTCCTACGTGCGCCTCGTCGCGCTGCCCTACCTCTTTTTCACGCTCGTCACCTCGGTCAACTCGCTCAACGACAACGCCATAGAATCCTTTGGCGAAGAGGCCAGTACGTGCAGACCTGCGTCGTGTGTGTGTGCGTGTGCGGTGGTGCGTGTGCGTGTGCGTGTGCGTGTGCGTGTGCGTGTGCGTGTGCGTGTGCGCGTGCGCGTGCGCGTTGACTGAAGTTCGATTTTTTCCCGGTGTGGTCCACAGGCGCTGGGGCTGCGAGCAAGCGAATGAGGTACAAGGTGGACAAGCTCGACGATGAAGACGACAGCGACAGCGGCACGAGCCTTGACGTGTTCAGCGTCACGTCATCGATGGAGATCGACCCGCACAAGATGGGTGACGCCTCCGACTCGGCCATCAACACGCTCGAGCTGTGGCTGGCGGCGCAGAAGCTGTTCAAGTGCATCGTCAACAGCGAGCGGCTCATGCCCACGCAGATCAAGCACATCCTCATGCACATCGACGCCGAGGTGGGCGAACGCTTCAGCGCGCAGGAGCAGTTCCGCGCGCTGGGCGGATTCCTGTTCCTGCGCATGGTGTGCCCCGCCCTCATGGCGCCCCAAGTCTTTGGCCTTCTCGACAACCCGCCTCACCCCGTACGCGCCCTCTCTTCCTGTGCGCCGTGTGTGTCGTGTGTGTCGTGTGTCGTGTGTGTCGTGTGTGTCGTGTGTGTCGTGTGTCGTGCGTCATATGTTGTCGTGTTGTGTCTGCCACGGTAGTGACTGGGGAGAATGCAGGTGGCGCAGCGACAATTCATCCTGGTGTCAAAGGTGCTCCAGAACTTGGCCAACGACACGCTGCCAGGCGCCAAAGAGGTAATGCCGTCACATGACTGTGTTTTGACATACAAGTATATAGAATAGGTATGTAAGGCCATTTCTAATCTACTCTTCATGTCGTCAGGCCTACATGGAGCAGCTCAACTCGTTCATCATCACCAACAAGGCCGGTCTGGAGCAGTTCTACCAGAAGCTGGTGTCGGGCGCCCAGCGAGGTAAGGCGGCCATGACCCAGGTGCCGGTCAAGGCCAAGCAGCGATCGCTGGCCGTCGTCCACCAGTGGCTCGAGGCCAACCTGGCGGCACTAGAGCAGACTCTGCTCAATGATGAGAAGAACGGCGACAGTCACCAGGACCAGGAGCTGGTCGAGCAGCTCAAGGAAGTGCTCGCCTCGCTGGGGGATGACACCAGTGTGTAAGTACCACTACA